TTGTTCAGTGTGGGTGGTTACGGACTGTTAGGAGAGCAGTTTTCGGATTCTTCGGACAGAGGTGAGTCTCCTCACCATACCAATGGGTCTAAGGTACCAAGGCCGACCCATTTTATGATATATAGTATCCTAGCTGAGATTGTATTATTTTGCATGTTAGTTGGTATGAGCTAGGAAGTATTCTAGTGGTATATGTGGTATGTTTGTATGGAAGACCATGGGAGAGCCCATGACACTTGGATGTAAGACCATGTGGAGAGCCCATGGCTTTCCTATCAAAGACCATGGGAGAGCCCATGACACTTAGGTGTAAAACCATGTGGGGAGCCCATGACATCCTAGACTAAGACCCTGGGGACGAGCCCATGACATCCCTATCTGTTGTATGCATGACTTATGTGATATGTGTAGCTGTTATAGCTAATATGATATTTTGTATGTGGTTTGTGTGTGGGTATGCTCTGCGGAACTCACTAAGCATTAGCTTACAGTTTGTTGATTTTTTTTTAGGTACATCTGAGCCCAAGGGCAATGGCAAGGCTTGATGGCGCAACGTGTACTCTCACTTGGGCATTTTATGGGACACTCTGATATTTTGAAATAAAATTGTATTTGACATGGTTTTGAAAACAGTTGTAACTGGTTTTTATGGATGATGAAAATGTGTTTTGGATAATTAAAAATGAAAAATTTCTTTTGAAAATCGGGTCGTTACATTGAGAGAGCATTCAATTCATCCCAACATTTCTTCAATTTGGTGAAATAGGTGGCAAGATCGTTCGATCCTTGAGTCAGATCTGAAATTTCCTTCTGAAGTTGATACAATTTTGCACCGTTTGATTGACCATAACGATCTTCCAAAATCTTTCCAGATTTCTTCAGCGGAAGATGAATAAAGAACAGATTCAGATATGTCACTGGATAGAATATTTAGAATCCATGACATTACCATATCATTGCATCGTTGCCATAGATCAAAATTAGCATGATCGGAAGAAGGTTTAACAATTTTGCCATTAACAAAACCAAGTTTGTTCTTCGCTGAAAGTGTAATGGTGATGGCCTTCTTCCATGAACCAAAATTCGATCCATCTAACTGCTTAGTGACAAGAATCATTCCAGGATGATAAGAGGGATGAATATACAACGGATCAGAAAAATTGATTTGAGTTTGAGAAGAACTTGAATTGATTTGAGGTGTTTGACTAGGCATTTTGCAAATCGAAAGAAAACAGAGATTTGAAAAGAAGAGATGAATGATTGAAATTGAAGAACAATGATGAATAATCACAGCTCTGATACCATGTTGATCATTGAACAATTTAGGTTTAAAGTTCTGCGATTTAAGCAAGAAATATGAGTTCGATTTTGGGTTTAACATTCTGCGATTTTAAGAAAGATATACAAAGTTCAATTTTTGGATTTTGATTATGCTTTTTGTATTTTGTATTTGGTTTTAAAGGAATGTGATTTAGGCAAGAAAATGCCTTGATTTTGGATGAGAAAATGGTGGTTCACAATGACGATTTTCTTAGAGAATTGATAAGAATGATTGCGGTGCCGGAGAAGGAAGAGTGGGAGTACTATTTTGGTATAACTATTTTGCTTCAAACTTTGAATAACTAATTATAATCTAATTATAAATGAGGGTTACATTCGTCATTTTACTTTGAAAATCAGTGGATACATTAAAAAAATTCATGGAAGTATCACCTCCTTTTCTGATTAGCCCAACATTAATCTGATTAGATTTTTATTCTATAATTTTTACATTACGTAATATGTAGTTAATAATAAAATTGTTTTAAAATATAATAATCAGCAACAGTAGTTGATCTTAAATCCACAAACAAAAGTTAGGTCCAAGATCATGGGAAGTGAACAAGTGATTAGATAACTAATAATTGGTTAAACAACATCCATGCTTAATATATATTTTATCATTTCAAATAAATATAATATTTCATCTTATAAACAATGTTCAATCATTAGTTAAATATATATCTTTTAAATAAAGGAAAATAGAGAAGAATTAAAAATCCCAATCGACGTTTACTTTACACAATTAGCAGAGTTAGTTAAAAAATATTTATTATCAAATAATAAAATTTATAACTTTTACCTCTATGAATTTATTATCATTTTATGAATTTGACTATATCCGAATATAACACTTTTTAAAGTTCTGTTGTTTAAAGGATAAGTCAACAGTGTTCTTTTATTAAAATAAAAAGAGTTGACATAAAACACAAAAGGCATGTTCCATAACATACATGTACTTTTGATGGGTGTGTTTTGAAATAAAGATATAATAACTTTAAACATGTTTTGGATGTTAAATATTGTATTGCAATATAGGCTTCACAAATTACGTTTGTATTTTATCTATTAGTAATTATCACACAATATTAAACATTGTGTATTTGTTTGAGATAGGATAGAATTGCATCTAGATACAAATCCAGATCATGAATTACATTCTTGAGTTTATTTAATTTTGAAAAGATGTATATTTTCTTTCAATATTAAAGTTCTAAAAATAAAATACTAATTCAATTTTAATTTAAATCGAACAAAATTGAACCAATCATCATTTTTAGAATGTTTTATTTTTATTTTTATAACCAAACATAGAACTACTTTTATACAATGCAGAACCCAAAACCGATGATCGGTTCTATTATAATAATAGTTTAAATATTTGGTTTTTTAGCCTTTGTACAAATTTTACAATGTCATATATCTTTTTTGAAATGTTGTTTTTGGTTTGTTGCTTCTTTTATTTTGTTGTTTTAAATGTCATTTATATATTATTGATAAGATAAAACATTTTTATTAAAGATAGGTCTAATCAAATATCATGATCAGTTTTATGTATAATTCGAACATCAAGAAATTATATTTGTGATGCATTGAATCTTTCACTTTCTATCACGATTGTAAAATCATATTTCTTTTTAATTGAAACCAGAATACAATTGAATTTATGTGGATTTTGATAATTTTTTGAATCAAGATATAATAACATATTCATGGGCGACTTAATAAGTTTGGGGCTCTAAGCGAACCAAAAATTTAAGACGTTTTTGGCATTTCCTCTTAGACATGATTATTGATTATTTAATTAATACTAACAACCACAGAGACAATTACAAATGAACAAACAATAAATTGGAAGTAAATTAATGGATCATAGACTTGAAATACTTGCTGCTTGAGAATAGAAGATAATGGAAAACATGAAAACTTATCAGATTGCTAATCTACCTCGAGTCTTGAAATAAATAGATAATGAAATCAATCAATACTAGAATCAAGAAATAAGTCAATAACACTTATCAGATTCTTAATCTACCACAAATCCACAATCACATATGAGGAGATAAATAGATAATGGAAAACAGGAAAACTCAAAACTAGACCTAAAAGATAATCAGAATATCAGATACTGGAAATTGGAAACACATATTGTTTCAGACTTTTAGTTCATCAGTTGAGGTCTTGCAATGTTGCCCCTAATTTGAAATTGACTGATCAAGAATCACTGAATCGAATTGTCGTTAGCTGCTCCCCGTTGGTTGCATTCTGCGTTTCAGACTAGAATATAGATCGGGGGACAAGAGGAGAAGCTGACGAGAAGGAAGAAGAACACCAGGATAGATGCGTTTTTGTGGAAATTGAATCGTCGCTTTGATTGTTGATTGTAGCGTTAGGTCAGACGTGTGACATGCATAACAATTGAATGATCAATTCTCAGTTTTTAGACAACAATTAGTAAATTAACTTTAAAATTAGGGGCCCTTTAGAATTGAGGCCCCTAAGCCCTTGCTTAGTTTGACAAAAGGTAGAGATGGTCCTGGACATATCTTTATACTAAATATTAAGTGACTGTATTGAACTGAATCTGAAAAAATAAAAAATATTATAACTAAAAAAAAATTGAATTAAATCAATTTGGTTTTAGCTTAAGATATGATTAGACTTTGAACTTAGTTGAGCCAGATACAAAAAACTCATATTTGTTTTTCAAAAAAATACAAAAATTAAAAGAATAAATGTATAAGAAATACAAAAAGGTAATTATTTTATGTTTCGAGAATTATCAAATCGAAACCGAATGTTTTGTGAAACTTATGAACTGAAAGTGTTTATTGATCGAGGTTCGATCCACATTTTTCATCCAAATTGTTTAGGGTTTGATCCAAAATTATTATTTTTCAATTTAATTAAGTTTCATTTAAAATCATGATTTTGTCATTTGAATAAACATTTTTAAAAAAGTTGCATGTAGGTTCAAACGTAATCCGACTTTAGTCAAAAATGTTAAGCTAAAATGAAACTCTGTACTAAATAATTAAGTTGTCTTAATGAAACTTGAACTCACCTTAAGCATTTGCGTAACTTAAATATCTATGAAAACTATTTAATGTTATTTTGAAAAGAGATCTGATTTGTACACAATAAAAATTATTCATACACAACAATTATGCTTTAAAATATTATATTGTAAAACTCTATTAAACATAAGATATTATGTAGGGATAAAAAGTGTTATGTACCACAAAAATAAAATCAGAAAAATAAAATCAAAACTATATTGAATGTAAAATACATATATTATATAGAATTGTATTAAAAAGAGCTTCAAGGAAAAAGAAAAAGATTCCCCCCACCTCACACGCGCGCAAAAAATCGCGTAACAGCTCATCTGTACCACACTAATTGTCCTCATTCAAGATCTAATCAGCTAGAACTCAGGTCCACAGCTTATTCAATTCCAGCCATTCGATGTTACCAGTTTTATAATCCAACGGTTCAGATTCCAGGAAGATCGTACAGGACTGAAGCGAAACAACACCGACACATTTCTCATGCATCAACCTCAGCTCCGGTTTTTACAAATTGTGAACCAAACCTGAGGCTCGGCAATAAACCTATAGGCTCGGAACCGAACCTTAGACAGATAAAATATAATATGTCTGAAAGAAAGAAAAAGAGACCATCTTTCTCGCTCATCGGTTTTAGAGAGAGAAAGAGTGTTGTAGTTAGTAAGAAAAAAGTGCGAGGGGGTATACATACATATATATGTATGTATAGAGAGAGAAAGTAGAGAGAGTGAGAGAGAGGAAGAAGGTGCATTCAGCTACGACTGTTTTGGATTGAAGGATAATTGGAAGTCTTGATCTCCATTAACAAGCTGCTGGAAGTAAGAGTTTCTGTTCTTCTGTACACTTGTCAACAACCCCCAAATTTGCTTTCACTTGATCACAGTCTCGAAATCGTCGATTTTACTCTCAAATTAGCTGATTCTCGACCTTGTTTGTGTTGTAACGGTAATACAGCTTTTGATTCACCGAAAACCATTGAAATTCGCAATTATTGTTTTTGCATTGTTGGGGAAATTTGAAGTTGTTTCATGCAGTAGTGTTTTTAGGGTTTGAGTCCTTGTTTTTTTCTCTCTGAGTTGTTGATTTAGGCTTTCGAGTTCGTTTACAATCTCTAATTTCCGTTATATATGTTTACTAGGACTGTGTTGTTATTAGGGTTTTAGTATTTGCTTATGTTGTACTTTGGTTTCGTAGAATATTCCTTCTTCCTTTATGATTTCCCTCCCTGAAGTACATAGGTTAACTGATGGTCACTGAATGTCAAGCTTTGAAGCAGTCTGGTTCTTCACCTACCATTTTGAAATGAATTTAATAAAAAAATCTGAATGAAATTGGTTGTGGTTTGAAATTGATTTAATACTTTGTTTACAAGTGTGATGCAGCATAATCAACGCATCATTAATGATGCTAAATCTCTTTTTTTTTTACTTATCTTTCCAATTACACTTGTTTTCTTAACCAATTACTTGTAATTTGTAGGTTTCTGTCAATCTAAATTTGGAAAGCTATCCATAAGTTCATGATCCAAGATGCATTCATTGGCAAGAGCATAGAGCCATACACAAACATTGAGCTGAAAACCAGCTGAAAATAGTTTTGGAAGGTTTAAAAACACTATTCTAAGCAAAAGTCTTGTATTTTAATGAGATTCAGATGTTGCAAAGGCAAATTATGTTCAAGCAGCTTGAAGAACTCCAAAGGCAAAAGAAACTCCAAGAGTTAAACGACTCCAGACAACAAAATGTCATTAATCAACAATCTTTACTACTCAATAAGCAAGCTTCTGGAGCTCAATATGCACCATTAATCAATGGAACTCCAGTTCGTGATCCATCCCAAATGTTCATGTTTGGTAACACAAATTTGGTCCAAGGGTTTCAAAATGGATTACCTTATTCACAATCTGGACATGGTTTTAGTCGTTTTTCTAATTTTCAAGGAACAACACGTGAACAACCACCCATTGGTGAACAACAAATGGACACTGTTGCTAGATCTTCTTCCATGAGTGATCAATTCAATGCTGCTTATCAAGAACAAGGTGATTTTGGTGGAAACATTGTGGATAAAACAACAGATGTTAACCTTAACCCTCAGGATTTCACTAGTTTGGATCCATTAGAACAGAAGTTCTTATTCAATACAGATGATAACAATTTTGGGAACATGTTTGAAGACACTGATAACTCACAAGCTTTTCCTTCTTTACAAAGTGGGAGTTGGAGTGCTCTTATGCAATCTGCCCTTGATGAAACTTCAAGCACTGATACAGGTGTACAAGAGGAATGGAGTGGTTTAAGCTTTCAGAATCCAGAACTTTTCAATGATAATAATAATAATAATCAGCCTTCAAACATTATGGAAAGTGGGAAACATCCAACTTCATGGTTTCAAAACAAAACAACTAATCAAAATTCAAACTCAAACTCAAACTCAAACTTCCCTGGTTTTCAGCAGTTTCCTTCTACAAATTTCCAATTTTGTTCAGATTCTTCTCATGGATCAAATCAGCAATCTCAAAAAGAAGGTGGTGATTCTTCTGGAATGTCTGCCATTGTTGACAAATCATCCGGATTTCCTGTTCAAGATTCAAATGCTCAAACAAGGTATTTACTATTTACTATTTACTAATTACTACTTCATATCATGATTCATGAAACTTGCAATGTTTGACAAACATTTTTTGATTTATTTATTTATTATGATGATAGTCGACATATGCTTGAGCTTCTTCACAAGGTAGACAAATTCAAAGAATATAAACATGGTCAACAACAACAGTCTTCTTATACTGAGTCGACTCAGAGAAAGATACCTAAAGCTGAAACTACAGATGCATTCACTCCATCAAACAATTCTTCTGTCCAACAATCATTTGGATTGAGGTTGTCTCCTCCAACTCAAAGACACCCTGCAAATTATTTCAACTCATCTCAAGTGGTATAGTAGTAATTCAAACATCAATACATTTAAAAAAAAAGTCAAAAAGTCAAAGTTAATAGATACCTTTTTTCTTGCAGGTCAACTCACATTTAAAGAATCAAGATGGTCAACAGGGTTCTAATTCTAATCCAAAAAGTCAACCTAATGTCTGGATAGATATACCTTCTAGCAGAATGGAAACTGCTTCTGAAGGTCAAAATTCACAAACTTTTGATTATGGGCAAGGGCAAGAAGGTAAATTCCACCCCGGGGAAGAATCTTTTTCAGGGCGTTTAGAAGCAAACGGATCTGGTTCTCTGAAACAATCACATATTTCCCCTCATGGGTACTCTCCTTTAAACCCCACGTACTCTGGGCCAGGGGTAAAAAAAGGAAAGACAAGATTCTGACCCTCCTAAATTTCCTCAAGTAACATCCATGTCAGCACTCACATCTGCATACGAAAACTACAAAAGCGTACTCGCGTCATCCGCTATAAAAGAAGATCATTTAGTGAAATCCCCATTTTACCCTCCTCTTCAAGACCCTTCTCAGCTTCATAAAAACAGTTCATTTGTCCAAATGAATTTAGCAAGCACAAGTCAATATGGAACCAATTCAGTTGCTGTTAATCAAGATTCAATTATTTCTAAATCAAAAAAACGTAAATTTCCTACTTATGAGCTTCTCCCTTGGCATAAAGAAGCAACACAAGGTTCTAGAAGACTTCATGATACAAGGTATATGTTTATATATATTGGCATACTTCAAAAAACTTCAAATTTTTTTTTTTTGACAAATTTGTCCTTGCAGCATTGCGGAAGTGGAATGGGGAGAGGCTGGAAATCGGGTACCTGAACAGGTGTGTTTTTGTGGTTGACCAGAGAGTTGACTTTTTTTTTTGGTGTATTGGTTCTAGTTTCTAAATGGTTGTTTTTATTATTATGTTAACAGATGAAAGAAGGGGGTGAAAGTGAAACATTAAAGAGAAGAATTATTTTAACAACACAACTTATGCAAGTTTTATTTAGGCCTACACCATTTAAACTTCTTTTAGATGATGCTTTGGAATGTTATGAAATTGTAACATACTTTGCTGCTAGATTAGCACTTGGTGATGCATGTAGTTTGGCAAATCATACTCATGATATTTCTGACACGTAAGAATTTTTTTTTTTTAATTTTTTTTTTTTGTTATGAATGTAAAATCTTGAAAAGTTGATTTTTTTGCTGACGTGGCAAATCCAGGTCAGCAGGGAAAAAGGTTGTATCCAAGGGTAGTGGTGATCAGAATCTTTCAAAGGTTGTGGAAGATTTCATTGATAGATCAAAAAAGATAGAAGATATGCTTTTGAGGTATAAACACAATCCACCATTTTTTTATTAAGCACTTTGAAGTCATTTTTACATTAAAATAAATAAATAATGAGTAAACTTCTAATTTAACCATTTTTACCTTGTCAAAATGGTTTAATTGGAAAAATATCTAAAACTTTATTTTTGTTTGATTGGAAAAAATAAAGTACAAGTAGTTAAACTGCAAAACAGCCCAAAATACATTGGTTTTTGTGTAATTTATTAAATAAAATAATTTAAAAAGTTGTTACATTTGATTTTTACTTTTAGTTTTTCTCAAATGACCCTTTTCCTTTTTCGGGTAAATTTTTTTTACTTTATCCCCTTTGACCTAAATTCTTTTTTAGTAAAAGAAATAACTCAAATCAACCCACTTTCAGTTTCAGATTCTCCCATTTGACCTTTTTTTCTTTTTCAGGTAATTTTTTTAGATTTTTCCTCCTTTATTAGGTAATATGACTTTTTATCAAATCAACCCACTTTTAGTTTTTTTTTTTTACTATTTGACCTTTTATCCATAAATAAAATACAACTGAAAAGCCAAATCAACCCAGTGTCAAAAATCGGTTAAATTACATTTACAATGTTGTAAATCTGTTTTCATTTGTTTATAAAAATGGTATATATATGGAAATGAAGGTTGGAGAATGGAGGATCAGTTCTTGAAATAAGAATGGAATCCCAAGATTTAGAGAGATTTTCAGTCATCAACCGATTTGCCAAGTTTCACAGCCGGGCACATATGACGGCGGCAGCAGCTGACACAACCACCACCACCTCCGGTGGTGGTTCCGGTGTCCCTAAGCTATATCCTCAAAGATATGTGGCAGCTAGTCCGATGCCTAGGGTAGTACCTGAAGGGCATAATTGTCTTTCACTATGATTGTTAAATTTTACGAGTCTTGTTTTTTTAATTTTAGGGTTATTTGCTCATTTGGTTGTCTAACTTAACTTTTGGTTCATGTTTTTGAACCGAAAGCCAACTGATGTCAATTTTGAGAAAGTATATATATCTTTCTTTTGTACATGTCAATCAAACAAACAATCAGTATAATCTAATGCATGTCAAACACACAAGTATATAATCTGTTAAAGATTAAAGATGCTTGTGTGGTTATTAAAAGAATTGAGTAGAGGTTATGAGTTTTGTTTTTTTGGTTGTTTTGGTAGAATGATATGATACTTAGGAAATTTGAAATTTGGAATTTAACGAATGGTCAAAGTCAAACTAGTATGGGAAGTGGATTTTGTAGATAATGTTTTGAAGTCTTGTGAAATAAGGGCAATTCTGTCATTTCAGTTGGTCCAATTCAATTTTCTTTCGACTCCTTGTCACATTGTGTGTTTAACTTTGTAATATTTCGCTATGGATTGAATTTTACATGGATTGATTCATTTTAGTAAGTGTTGAAATTAGCATAGTAAATTTTAAAGGTAAGTTTGAAAATTCGGACTTACTTATTTGGGGTATGGTGTGAGCTTTTATGACGTAATAAATGAATATAAGATGAATGATATTAATACTTAAAAAATTTTAAAAACTAGATTAAAAAATTAAACAAGAGTATTTAAAGAAAATTATTTGGGACTTGGGAGTAGACAAAATTAGAAATTTTGGTTGTTATATCATATGATACTAGTTGTGAGATCCATGTACTATATGAATTAATTTAAAAAAAAATTAAATATATATTTTAGAACTTTGAATTTATAAGAAAATACGAAAAAATAATGAATTATTATAATGAAAAATATATTTTTTTTAAAATTTAAACAAATAATTTAAATAAACCTACTGATGTGATACAGAAGAATAATAAATTATTACTTTTGAGTGTATTTTATTTTTGGTTTTTACTTCTTAGTGATTTCTATTGTGTGCTAAGTTTTTCTTTTAGTTTTGTTTTGAAAAGTGAATTCAAAAGTCAGAGAACTCAAAGGAAGAAGAGACTCAAGGAGACTGTATCGTAACTTTCTTAGCCAAGATTACATCCTTGAACAACTGTGGTGAGAAGGGATTTTCATAACTCTATGATCCATAGGGACTTTCTAGTAAATGGTTACTTTTCAAGGCGCAACGATGATCGTTAACGAATACTCATTCGAAGGAACAAGAAGTGAAGATTATTTTTCAACATTCAATCTTTCAACCCCAGAAGCAAGGTGAAGTTGTTTTTGAAGATTATGTGACAAATTGCATTGAAGCATCCCCAATCAATTTGCTGCTATCTATGAACCTAATGATGTGATCCAGAAGAATCGATCTCTCTGTTATTCTCTCTGAAGATTCTCAAAACTACAAGTGCTGATTCTCAAGAATCCTTACAAGAAGCATCCACACCCAACGTGAGTTCAAAGTCAAATTTTTGAAGAAAAACCCAACTGTTCAAGATGAAGTCATTCATATTGAAGATTCATATGTTCATCTTGAAGTTGTGAAGAAGTCGAAGATGAATGCTGAAGCCAAGCACAAAGTGAAGATTGAAAAGAAAAGCAAGCTACAAACCCAGGGGGAGTTTGTTAGGTCATAAGAAAAGAAAACTATAAACCAAGGGGGAGACTGTTGGGTCTAAATTTATTGGTTTATTGTAACATCCCAAAATTCACGCCCAAAAATTTCATTTTATTTAAATAACTCATAAAAACATCCATTAGAAAATACTGTGAAAACATGTCATCTCATGAAACAATGTATCGTGACTGAAAAACCCAAGTCATAAATAACAACATGTCAGAGTACAATCCCAGAAAACTCTATGCGGAAATCATGTGTGTGTGTGATGTGATGCTACGCCGCCGACTCCTTCCCCTTAGAGGAAGAGGTACCTGAAACCAAAACTGAAACCGTAAGCACAAAGCTTAGTGAGTTCCCCCATCATACCACATACCATACAATATCATCGGTATCTTTCAACCGGTAATCATCATCGTCGGTATCTTTCAACCGGTAATCATCATCGGTATCTTTCAACCGGTAACCATCATCGGTATCTTTCAACCGGTAACTGGGGACTATTTCACCCCTACCACTAGCATAAAATAGCAAGATATAAGCATACAGTCAGGCATATTCGGGTACTGACCTACCCTTCGGTCCTAAGGACCACTGTCAGGGAAAACTATCCCTATCATACACGTAACATATCATACAGATATAACCCATAACCAAAACACGTAACCAGACCAAGATAATTATCACAAAGACAATCATCTTCTAAATACTCCTCTTTGGTGGGCCGGCATTGTGGCCGTAGACCCACCCCTACTGGAAGGTAACTCACCTCAATGTCGTGCAGTGTTTGAATTCTCCTTGGCGCACAAGTCGACTTCCTTCGACTCCTCGATCCCTACACGACGACCTTCAGGTCAACACACAACAAGTACAACCCTAAACAGGGTCAGTCCAAGTCCAGACAAAGTCAATCTTCAAGTTGACCCGACTCGCCGAGTTGGGCCGTCAACTCGCCGAGTCCCTCACCCTTTACTCGTCCTCATTCATGACCCCACTCGTCGAGTTGGGCCGTCAACTCGACGAGTTCTTCTCTCATATGAACATCATATGAAAACTCATCCGACTCGCCGAGTTGATGAACAACTCGTCGAGTCCACCTTCATCCGATGAACAAGTTCTGTCCTCGACTCGCCGAGTTGATGAACAACTCGTCGAGTTCATCTTCATCCTTAAGAAGATTGCCTTGGACTCGCCGAGTCTGTTCTAGCACTCGCCGAGTCCCATGAACTCCAGGTCTAAAATCACGTCCAATGCATTGGGTAACTCTTTCTGTCCGGTTACAAACCTTCTAACACTCAACTGGGTTCCTTTGACCCTCAACATATATGGGGCTCAAAGCCTCGGACTCGTCGAGTCCAAGAACGGACTCGCCGAGTTGGTCACGTCCATACTCTAAATCTTTGATTTCTGATGTACAACCTTTGATCAGAAGATAGATCCAAGCTTCTATAATCGATCTAGCACGTAAAGTTACAAACTTTACGTGCTTGCATGGGACTTTGAGCTCAAAAAGACATAAAACAAGCTCCTATGGTACATGGGACCTTTCATGGGTGCAAAAGCAACCCAAATCTGCCTAGTGACTCCTTTAATGATGTGATTCAGAAGCTTAAACCCCCAACTATGCTTGCAAACATGGTTGGCCACCAAAAATGGCTTATAAAAGCCCTAAATCTCCCAAAAAAGGGATCTAACAAATGAATGAGCAAGGTTACAGCTTTTTACCTTCAATGAGCTGTAGAAGGTGCACAAACTCAGGTTCCCTTGGTCTCTACTTGCTTCCTCAAGCTTTTCTTCTTCCTTCTTAAGACCACAAGCACCAAAATCCACCAATGAGGCTTAGATTGCTTCAATGACGGCTAGGGTTTCAATGAGAGGTGTTTTGGGAGCATAAGGGACGTCTTGGACGACATAACATTGTTTAAATAGGGTGCAAACCCTTGGATTAGGGTTTTTGTCCAGACAACGTCTACTCGCCGAGTCCGGGACCCGACTCGCCGAGTCCATCACTTAAATCCCGCGTCCCGTCCCGCTTCTACTCGGCGAGTTGGTCCTTCAACTCGCCGAGTCCAAGGCCAAAAATGCAAAATACTTAGGAAGAAATACGTACCAAGAACCAGGTGATACAAATCTCCCCCACTTATTTTAGACTTCGTCCTCGAAGTCTGCTGCTCGATCCTGAAACAGCTCTGGGTAGTGCTCCATCATCTCGTCCACCGACTCCCAAGTCCATTCCGAGCCCTTCCGGTGCTGCCATTTCACCTTCACGAGTTCCACTCTCTTGTTCCTCAGATCCTTCGACTTCCGGTCGAGGATCGCCACAGGTCGCTCAATGAAGTTCAGGCTGCCGTCGACCTGAATGTCCTCCAAGGGCACCACTGCTGAGTCATCCACCAGGCACTTTCGCAGCTGGGAAACGTGGAAAGTGCTGTGGATCTGACTGAGTTCGGCTGGCAGATCCTTGCCCACCCGGGCTATAACCCTAAACTGTCCAATATACCTGGGACCTAACTTTCCCCGCTTCCTGAATCGGGTGACGCCCTTCCATGGCGACACCTTCAGGAGAACCATATCCCCGACCTGAAACTCCAGGTCCGATTGGCGCTTGTCGGCATAACTTTTCTGCCGACTCTGAGCAGTCTGAAGTCTGCTCCGAACCTGCTGAATTCTCTCTGTCGTCTTGAGCACCACTTCGGTGCTCCCCATGACCCTCTGGCCAACCTCACCCCAACATATCGGGGTCCTGCACTTCCTCCTGTATAACATCTCGAAGGGAGGACGGTCAATACTCGCATGATAGCTATTATTATACGAGAACTTCGCCAACGGAAGGTAGGTATCCCAACTACCTCCGAAGTCTAAAACACATGCCCGCAGCATATCTTCTAGCGTCTGGATGGTCCGCTCGCTCTGACCATCCGTCTGCGGGTGAAAGGCGGTGCTAAAATGTAGACGAGTACCTAGCTCGTCATGAAACTTCTTCCAAAACCTGGAAGTAAACCGAACATCTCTGTCTGAAATCACCGACACTGGCACCCCGTGCCGTGCTACCACCTCTCTGATATAAATGTCGGCCAGCTTCTCGGCCGAGATGCTCTCCTGAACCGGAATAAAATGAGCGCTCTTGGTCAATCGATCGACGATGATCCAAATCGAATCCACTCCCCGCGTGGTCCTGGGAAGCTTTGTGATGAAATCCATCGTAATGTCCTCCCATTTCCACAGCGGAATATCCAACGGCTGGATCTTGCCGTGCGGCCTCTGGTGCTCGGCCTTGACCTTCCTGCAGGTCAAGCCCCGCTCCACATACCATGCTACGTCCCGCTTCATGCAGGGCCACCAATAATCGGGACGAAGATCCCTATACATCTTCGTTGCTCCAGGATGGATAGAAAATCTGGATTTGTATGCCTCCTCCATCAGGATCTGGCGCACGCCTCCATGATAAGGGACCCACACCCTACGGTGAAGAGTCAATAACCCTCGGCTATCATAGTCGAAGGAGGAAACCTGTCCCACAATCCGCTCGCTCTTCCGGTGAAGAGTCAGCACTGTCATCCTCA